AACAAGTGACTTAGCAACCCAAATCTTCTTAGGCCTATTCTTGTTAGGAGGTCCTAAGAACATGACTTTCATCTTTCCACTAGAATCCTTTCTAAGCATGTAATGAGCATTGAAGGCAAATGGTCTAGCATGCTTAGGCAAGGGTTGTGGTGGTGGAGTTTGGCACTCATGAGCAAAGTGGCCTTCTTGTCCACACTCAAAGCATCTCTTTGGCTTCGGCTTTGATTGTTGTTGTTGAACTTGAGCCTTCTTCTTCTCTACATGTGCCACATATCCAATACCACTTCTATTCATCTTCATGACGGTGTTCATAAGTAGCTCACTTTGAAGATATTTGCCTCTTGTGAACTTGCTCAATCCAACCTTGAGATGCTCTTTCTCCAACTTAAGCTTCTTGTTCTCTTCCTTAAGAGCATCATTGTTCTTTTCTTCCTTGAGCTTCTTGTTTTCCTCTTTGAGCTTCTCATTCTCAAGGATCAAGTCACCATCATGATCAAGGGTTTCTAGCACAATGGTATTGTGGCTTTTGATTTTTTCAAGATCTCTCTTGAGCTTTGCATTGTCATTCTTGAGCTTGACATACTCATCATAGTCATTGCACTCAACCACTTGCTTGCCCTTGATACTAGAACCTTGCTCAATGCTCTCAATGATCAAGTCATCACATGATGTAGCTATATCAATCTTAACAACATGGTTAGTAACATCATGCGGCTCATTGGATAGAAATTTTTGAGCAATAGCAAGATTATCATGATTAATCTTAAGAGTAGTATATTTATCTTTTAGCTTGTTGTGGCTAGTGATGAGCTCATTGTGCACCCACTCAAGTTTATCATATTTATCTTTAAGCTCTTTCTTAGAAGATTTGAGTTTCTTGAGTTTGGATGACATAGCATCATTTGTTTCTCTAAGCTCAACATTAGCCTTTTCTATTGTATCACATTTTGCTAAAAGTGAATCATTCTTAGCATCTAGTTTTTCAATTTTAGCTCTACTCTTTCTAATGATCTTAGTGTATTTTCTTAGAATTTTAACAAGATCATCGTATGAAGGTGAATCATCATCATCGCTATCGCTATCATCATCACTAGCTTGCTCATTATCACTACTATCATCATTATTAGTTACCTTGCGTTCATCCTTGGCCATAAGGCATAGGTGTGTAGAGGATGATGGCGGTGGTGGCGGTGAAGATGAGAGATCAATAGCTATGGCGGCCACCTTCTCATCGTCACTATCATCATCGGATGATCCACTAGATGAATCAATGTCCGTGAGACAATCACCGATAATGTAGGCATTTCTACTCTTCTTCTTCTTGTGGAAGTCTCTCTTCTTGCCATCTCTCTTCTTGTATGGCTTATTCTTCTTTTCATCTTCTTCTTTATTGCTTGAGTCATCTTTCTTGCCCTTGAACTTGTTCTTGAACTTGTCTTTCTTGGGCTTGGTGCATTGGTGTGCTAGATGACCAAGTTCACCACAATTGAAGTAATCCATTTCGGAGATTGGCTTTCTCCTAGAGCTTGTGAAGAACTTCTTCTTCTTGCCATCGAACTTGATGCCACTCTTGTTTAGCTTCTTTAGCATCTTGGCGGCTTTCTTCACCATGAGAGCAAGATCTTCATCTTCATCTTCTTCATCACTAGAGCTCTCATACTCAAGTCTTGCCTTGCCCTTATCTTGACTAGCTTTGAATGCTAAATCTTTTTCTTTCTTCTTAGTAGAGGATGAGCCATCTTGAGGTGTGATGTGCATGTACATTTCATGAGCATTGATCTTTCTCAAGATTTGTGTCGGTGTAGCAGTGGAAAGATCACCTTGATGTAGCACGGTCACAATATGCCCATATTTGTCAATGGGAAGGACACTCAAGATCTTTCTCACAACGTCGGATGATGACATTTGAGTAAGTCCAAGCCCATTGACTTCCTCTACAAGAATATTCAAACGTGAATATATTTCATTAGCATATTCTTTAGGAAGCATTTCAAAAGAGTTGAGCTTTTTCATGACAAGATGATAGCGTTCCTCACGCTCACTCTTTATTCCCTCATGGAGCGCACAAACGTCCGACCATAGTGCATGTGTGTCTTTGTGGTTCCTTACACGGTTGAACACATCTTTGCAAAGGCCTCTAAAGATGGTGTTGCGAGCCTTTGCATTCTATTTTTTATAGTTCACTTCATCGCCTTGAAGTTGTGCGGGATTCCTAGGTCTTGGGAACCCATGTGAGGCGGCTCTAAGTATTCCAACATCTAGAGCTTCTAGGTACGCCTCCATGCGAATTTTCCAATATGTAAAATCATCCCCCTCGAAGATAGGAGGAGGTCCATCCCCGTGAGACATCTTACTCTAAGCGATTAAGCTTAAAAACGTGAGCACGAGGCTTTGATACCAATTGAAAGGATCAAGATGCCCAAGAGGGGGGTGAATTGGGCTAATTCTAAATTTCTTCGCAATAAACAAGTCCTATGGTTAGCCTAATTAACCCCTTGTGCCTAGAGAAGTGCTTCTATTAATCTAATGCATAAAAGTTTTGCAACCTAGTTCCAATCCTACTCTAGCATAACAATTCTAGGAATGTAAATGACAAGAATTGAAATGCTCTAATTAAATGCTCAAAGTAAAGAGAGGAGAGGAAACGCGGCGATGTTTTGCTGAGGTATCGGAGAGTCGCCACTCCCCACTAGTCCTCGTTGGAGCACCCGTGCAAGAGTGTAGCTCCCCCTTGATCCACGCAAGGATCAAGTGCTCTCTACGGGTTGATTCTTTGACACTCCGTCGCGGTGAATCACCCACAACCGCTCACAACTTGAGTTGGGTCATCCACAAGCTCTCTGGATGATCACCAAGCTCCCAATCACCACCAAGCCGTCTAGGTGATGGCGATCACCAAGAGTAACAAGCATGAACTCTCACTTGACCACAACAAGCCTAGGGAGAAGGGTGGATGCACACTTTGCTACTCTCGATCTTCACTAATGAGGGCTCTTTTTGGATTCTCAAATCTCAATCACCTCACTAGGACATTACTCTTCTTGGTACTCTCTAAGGTGTGTTTCAGCTGTTGAAATGAGCAAAAGTAACTCCACACACGAGTGGAGCTTCTATTTATAACATGGGCTGAAAAACGAACCGTTATGTGTCTCTACGGGGTGACCGGACGCTCCGGTCATTCTCGACGGACGCCCGGTCGGGTTCAACCCAAGACACAAGTGTTTAAGTGTTGACCGGACTGCTGGTGGTCCGGTCACCACTCGACCGGATCGTCGTCCCATTTTTCCCTCTTTGGATGCTTATTGTACTCGACCGGACGGATTTGAACCCCTGTGGTCCGGTTAAGACTGACCGGACGGCGTCCGGTCAGAGAGATCTCTTCTCTCGAACCTTCATCGAGTCGACGGACGCCGCCCTCAGCGTCCGATCACTTGACCTCTCCAGCGTCCGGTCAAACCGGACTAGTTCACCTCAGTAAAATGAACTGACCGGACCCTGTGGTCAGTGTCCGGTCGCACCGGAGCCAGCGTCCGGTCAGTCTTTGACCCTCCATTCACTTCCAACTCTTAATTATTTGTGAATGAAGTTTGCTCCAAATGATCTTAGGCATATTTAGGAGCTACCTAGTGCTAGTTTTAACAAGTGTGCACCACACCTAACTCACTAGACTCACCTAGATCAAGCTACCCGTCCATACCCTCCTTAATAGTACGGCCAAAGGAAAAACAAAGTCCTAAACTAATCTAAGTGTCTTTTCAACTCCAAACGACACTTAGAACTAGTCATCCTTAACCTTGTCGTCCATCCTTTGAAAACCTAAACGATTTCCATCATAGGGGCATGACATCCACGATTGCCCAATCGATCTCTATTACCGTGACCTAACTTAATTGCCTCTACAAAACACACGTTAGTCACAGTAATCTTATATTGTCATTAATCACCGAAACCCAATTAGGGGCCTAGATGCTTTCAATCACTTAATACATTAGGGAGCCAAACGTGCGATTTCATAGTTTGGGGACCCAGATGAAACCCTCCCAATACTTTGAGGACCGGCTGTGTAATTTACTCTAAATTAAATATAGTTTCATGATATAAGACTTATGTTTTTAGATTCACTATGAGAGAGAGTTTCATAATATATATAAGTCATTTTATGAAACTATAAGCATTGTTTGAAATGAATGGTCAAAGTCTATGTTACTTAGAACAAAGCTATTATGTCATGTAAAAAAGAACGGGAATATACATTCAGCTACCTCACACAACTTTATGTTGAAAATGTGGCAAGTTAACATTAATGGCAGACAAATTAGAGCCCTCTTTGGCACATTTTATGGGGCTTGAGCTTCTCCACCTTTTTTTTTACACGGCACAAACAGCTCAATAAAATAAACATTGTCAGTGAAGTCGAAGCCACGCACAACTGTGCCAAAGAGGGCTAATGTGTCTACAACAGGAGACGCAGCCGCAGGGCTAAAATTGATTGTGAAAAACACTAGCTATCTTCTCTAGAGGAGAATATACTGTGGGGAGATACAACACAAGCACGCAATGCAGCTTGCAAACTGCAGTTGACGGTCAGGAACCATTTCTCATCTTATTGTGTCAGTTTAAGAAGGGCACTAACTTTTAAATCAATCAAAAGGGCTACGCTCCAGCAATCAGGAGTCGCAAAAAACAGAGCTTACAGCAGATCAAAAAGGAATATCAACCAAGATCGAAAACGAAGTAATATCAACCAAGATCGAAAACAAAGTAATATCAACATGGGTGCTCAGGGTCCAGTGTGCACGAAGCAGTGCCTGAGCATCCAAACAACATACTCTATCCATTACGCAAAAAAGCTAATCAACTGGGGGAGCCGAAACAAACAAAATCAGCAAGGCGGGACTATATTAAACGAACAAATATAATAGACAACCAATGATGAGGCCATACTTGAGAGCCGCAGCAATGACAGCAAATCTGGAATAATTAAAAATGAATGACAGAAGTCAACTCTGATTGGTTGACGTGAGAGAACCATCAACCATCTTATCGTGGCAAAATTCTACAACAATGCATGTAATGTTGTCGTTGCTCCCACGCCTGAAGGCGATCTCCGTAAGCTTCCGGGCTGCAGCCTCAGGGCTATCCTCGTCCTTCACAAATGCAACAGCATGCTGGAACAACCATATGCACCAATCAGCACAAACAAGGAAAGAAACAGTGAGTGAAGCTTCTGCTGACTCTTAGTTTTGTTATATGTGCACAAGAAAAAATTGTGTCAAGGAAAACATCACTGCATGTCTACACGACTAGAGAAAGTATTGCGATCCACACATCCATGCATTTTTCTTTTCTGAAATACAAACACATGCCAGGAGCTTATGCCAGGTATGCATGCATTTTCGTGAGCATTTAATGGTTGAATAAGCAATAACCAGTGGAGGCACTACTATCAATTTGTCCCTAGATCAGTAAATCTTTTCCACGTAAGCTTACTAATCAGTTTCAAGAAAACTTTCTAGCTAGCAAAATCCAATATGAATGTCATTGATTGCTGATAACTTCAGGCTTCATTTTTTTACAATAATTTTGCAAACGAACATACTCCCAATCCAAGCTAAAGATAAATTGGATGTGTTCAAACTAAAGCACCTACACATTAGAACTTGACATAGCTTAACAAGTTTTGGTGCTTAACCAAAGTACTTTCAACAGCAGCACCTAAACAATTATCACTGAAATATAATGCATATGCAGAAGTCACATTTCATCGTCAATATTTATGTGTCTGCTGCATATGAAACTACTTATATATCTTTTTCAAAGAAAGCATAACAGGGATATTACTCAAAAGAAATAACGCAGATACGTGTACCAAATTTGGTATATGGCATACTAACCTCATTTGGCACCACATCCCAGAGCCCATCACTAGCCAAAATAAGAAACTCCACATCACCATCTATTTCTAGATCCTGACAAGAAGTTTCCATGTAAGTACACTGCCTTGTGATTAAGTGCATTAATGTCATCAAATATCGCATTACAGAGGTTCTATTGTATTTCCCCCCTTGCAATGGATGAAATACAAAGTTTATGAGCGTCAAGAGAAACCTGAATCTCAGGGTCTGCAACAACGAACTGCTTCAACAAACGATTGCCAAATGCCCTAGACATTGCAAGTATACCACCTACCCTCCATGTTCCTGCAAAGTACATTTACCATTATCATCTAAAACATCATTGGATGAACCTCTTGTGATGTAGATGTAATTGAATTTCAACCAAGTAGACATAAACTGTAATAACTTTGGCAGAAAGATACACCCTCATTAAACCAAGTACCCAACGAGCCCGGCAATTGTTATGATCAATTTGACTTACCAGACCAAACAACAACTCCTCCAGCATCCTCAATCCGTTTCTGCTCATCACTTCTGTTTGGTTTATGGTCATCAGAGAGTGCAATAGCTGCAAATAAGAGTGACCAAAGTGCTTTAACGACAAGCCAACACATCCTAAGATGCATTCAGTAAATAGAAAATACATATTAGTCAAAACAAGATAAAATTGGGAGTGTTTCTTTGAGCAAATATACAGTTTCATACTCCCTCCGTTCCAAATTATAAGACGTTTTGGCTTTTCTAGATACATAGCTATTGCTATGCACTTAGATATACACTATGTCTAGATACATAATAAAAGCAATGTATCTAAAAAAGCCAAAACATATTATAATTTGGAATCAAGGGAGTACAATTCAAATATTCAAGTTTAAAATATAAGTATGGAAACATAACGTTTCCAGCTTTTACGACACCAACCCACCGTACAATACAATTGTGACTAACAACTTGATATAGATTAGTTGCTCCCTTTTTCACCAAATGAACAAGAATAAAAGGAAGTTAGATGATTCTTTTCTGGAGGAAAAGAATACAGCACAAACTTGTTCCATACTTGAATATGTTGTCATAATAATTTTTTTGGGCGGATTTAAAAATATCTCCCGCAAGTTAGAGGTTTTGTCAAAAAAAATCACCTTAAAATCCACAAAACAAACAATGAAAGACTTGAAAGCCATATGTGCAGCCAAATCCATCCTAACCCCAGTTTAGCTCTTCACAAACTAACGTATACGCATGTGCTTCCATCATGTCGTGCTTAGATGAACCATTTCCACTGGAAGGTCTGCAGAGTGCAGACATGTTTATTTCTCGTCGACAAAGACATTGGAGCCTTCAGTGCTTGTTCACCTATCTAACCGGCATGGGGTGGGGAGCGAATGTGTGGTTTCGCAGTTTCATTTCTTTGTTTGGGTCGGCTTATGTCTTGTAAACAACAACCCACCCCTTTTTTTCTTCTTGTCAGCGTGCGTTGCACACTGGACTGTATTTAACTGTAAGGTACTGTATTCTTTTTTAGTCGCTCCTTATCTTAATGATGAAACACATGAACGGCATACGTTCTCAAAAAGAAAAGAAAATAGCTCATACGGCCCAGCTGTGAGGACTATTTTCTTAGGGTAGTATAGGCAATGGCTATTCGAAAATAGCCCATGGGACCCTGTTGCCACGCCGATTAATTTGGAGTCGCGAGGTGGTTGAGAACCCCACTACCATGTGGGGGTGGTTTTGACATTTTCCAAATGCCCAGGTTAATCTGGATTCTAAAATACACTTCATCTGGGTCATGATACAGGTCAGTGATAAAATATGCGGTCAAATGTTTTCCGCCTTTTGGACATCCCTCTTATATGACATCTTTTTACAATGAAATCAGGGCAGGAATCATGATCGGCAACCGATCAAAACATATGTTCATAACTGATTGATTAGTGTGTAAGGTATCAAGTGATACTGAGTAGTTAGTATACACTATTATCATTTTTTTATGGCAAGTGTCATGGACATGCAAGTTTGCTGTACAATATTAACTGACTAGTGAAGCGATAGAATTTAAGAAAAACAGAACCTTTGCCTGCCTTTGACATTACAGCCCTTGAATCACCAACATTTGCCACATACAGATGGTTGCCAATCAAAACCGCTGTTGATGCAGTCGACCCAACTTGAATATTGCCTTCAGCATCCAAGAAATCCGCGTCAGTTTTTTTATAGGACTCACCTGCAAAATTACCATTTGTAAGATCTTGTTCACTACTAAATGAACTGCATTATTTTTAAGTAAGGACCTAGGAGAAAACATCATACTCATTGCAGACTTAGTATCACCAATGAACGCTGGATGTTTCAGAAGGTTTTCAAATAAGTGTTGTTTCAAATACCCAGCAGCACGGGTACCTCCATGACCTGTGATGACAAATGGTGTTAGGTTAATTAAACTAAGCAAATAAGGTGTTCGAAAAGTGAATGCCTCACCATCAAATACTCCAAAAAAGTTTATTTGTTTATCATCAATTCTAGAAGATTTTATGTCATAGAAGTCTTCCATGGTTGCCCTTCTACCTCTAATGCTTGAGTATCCACAATTTAAACTTCCATCCTCACTGCAAGCACAGATGTTCACAAGGACAACAACTAAAAGAGTTACTGACAAAGAAATAGGTTTGCCGCTGGCATGCGTTCTCAGGTAAAAACTATTTATAGGGTCTCTAAATGGAAGAGGAGCATCTTCCAGCAGTGGCGGACCCAGGATTTGGTGAAGACTAGGGCGAAACTTCAGCGGCAAAAAACTGAAAGCTACACCACGGTCTATATGACCATATATAGAGAGAGAGAAACAACTATTATCAAGGAAAGTTTGCAAAATCGAGAGAAATTCTTCAACTACATAATTAATAGTATGATACAATAGCTAAGGAAAATCATGGAACGTTGAAAAATAAATAGCAAATGACGTTTTGGTGCATTGGCATCGTCCACTTCCACAGTGGCGGTCTGGCGGATCAAACAAAGATTGATATGGATTCAAAGTGCTCAAACAATACATAGAACAATGAGGATTCATGAAATAATGCAAAGTAAAATGCAATTGTTAGTAAATAGATATTGATATTTGTTGAACATTCGAAATTGAACAAAAATGAGTAGGCACAATTCACAAATCAGTAAGTATTCAATATTTGAGTAGACAAACATGAAACACGGACAGCTCTTACTAAGTGTTGTACTGCAGAGAGTGGGGACGGCGCAGACGAGTGGGGAGGCAACCGCTGGGCAGCGGCGGCGGAGAGACCGCGACTCCGCCTCCGCCGCTCCGCGAGATGGTAAGTGTGACGGCGGCCGGCGGGGCTGAGCGAGAGCGCGGAAACGGGAAGCACCGGAGTCCGAGGGCAGCCGGCCAAGAACGAAGCGCAGAGCGGAGGGGCACTGGGCAGTGCGACGACGACGGCACGGCGCGAAAGCACGAGCGCGACTCGCTCGGTCTGCCCTACTCTCTGCCTAAGGCTGCTTGTGCCATTGGGCTGATGGGCCAAAAACTGAAGTGTTGCTCGTGGGCTATTTGGGCCACGACTAGGGCCATGGCCCCAGTTGCCCTAGTGCTGGGTCCGCCCATGTCTTCCAGTGACCTAGTAATCTACGGATGCTTATGGGTTTAGGGTCTCTAAATGGAAGAGGAGCATCTTCCATGCATACTTGCAATCACTCCTAGTCCTATGGTGAGGCAACTGCTATGTATGACAATGCAAGCTCTGTAAATTAACAAGATAACATATGAACTGATTGTCTGCCGAATACAGTAAATGATTTCAGAACAGGTTGCCATCATCCTTGTTCATACAGGCTAGTTACAAAGAGAAGTATACAAATAACTGTTGTTATACCAGCGAATCAATAAGAAACTCTTATCAATCTAATTAAGGAGGTGCTCATATGGTCATATATGCTACAAGTTAGTTGAACGCTTGAACTCTATTAATAAACACCATATACTTCGAGTTATATAGCTAAATAAAACGAGGGAACTCGAATAAGTAAGTTTCTCACAGAACCTAAGAGTCTCATAGGAAAATGTCTCAATTGTAACTGAGTGGAGACTAAAATTTGCAAACTAAAAACAGCATTAGCAATAGAGCGCACATGATCCAGGAGGCGTTACCTCTTCCACCCGCCGGATACATCGGGCACCACCTCGTTCTCCCTCTCGCTCTCCTTTTGCGCCGCCGCGAGGGCTGCCACGAGGGTCGCCTCCCCCGCTTCCCTCACCCTGGCATTCGCCCTCTGGAGGGCTGCAAGGATTCGGTAGGGCTTCAGCGGGTGCCGCACGCCGAGCCCCTTGCGGCTCCTGGGCCTCGGAGGCCGCGCCGCCCTCGCCCTCGCCCTAGCCACAGCCGCAGGACTTGGGGCCGCAGACGCCGCGCTGGGGCCCTCCTGCTCCTTCACGCCGCCATCGCACGCCATCTAACTCGTCGCCTAGGAGCGGCGGCGGCAGCAGCACGTGGAAATAACCTCTCGTCTCGGATAAAAAATTCCAAAAACGGAAACCGATTGGCTCGGGCAATGCGGGTCCGCCACGCGCGACCTGGATCCGATGGAGCGGAACCTAAGGCCGGAACCGGAGGGAGAGGGCGCGCGGGCGGCAGCGTCAGGCGGCGGCGGCGATCTAAAAGGCTGCAGATTCCCGTAGAGGGGGAGAGCGCGCGCGTGGCGTGGGTGAACTGGACTTGGGTGGCGTTGGCATTGGGGATGGGAGGAGGCGATCGAAGGGAGGCGAAGCGGAGATAGGATGGCAGAGGAAGCGGGTTTAGTTTGCAACGGACGGTTCACTTCGATGACCAGTGGGACCATGTAACCGAGGCTCAGCTGTCAGTGATGCGGGTGCCCCGTGGGACCGGCTTCGAGTCCTGAGCGCGATGTTCGAGCAGGTGCCAGAGGCGGTATCCAATGTGAGTCAGATGGTTCCATCGTAGGCTTGCATTGCATAGCCTTGGACCGAGGCCCAATCTAGGCTTCCACGAATCCATTGGTTCGACTAAGGGCCCGTTTAGTTTTACCTAAAATCTAAAAAAATTTATGTAGTATCCGTTACATCGAATCTTGTGGTATATGTATGGAGTACTAAATGTAGACGAAAAAAAAAACTAATTACACAGTTGGCCGAGAAATCGTGAGACGAATCTTTTAAGCCTAAATAGTCCATAATTGAACAATTTTTACCAAATACAAACGAAAGTACTACAGTAGCTAAAAGCCAAAAATTTTCGGAACTAAACACGTCCTAATTTCCGTTCTAAATAAATTAGGCCTTCTTCGTTTGTTAAATATTGAAAGGTAAAAGTTCATTTTATCTCCGGAACTACTCTCGAAGTTTAGTTTTTCTCCTTAACCCGAAAACCGAGTAAATGATCTTCCTCAACTTTTAAAACCGTTCATTTTACCTCCCTGGTCCGGTTATAGGTGGTTTTCAAAGACGGTTTTGTTTTTTTCTTTTTTATTTATTTTGGTTGAATATTTAAAAAATCTTAGTAAATCATAGAAAAATCATTAAAATAGAAAATACAATTTTGTTCCATGTCAGTAGATGTACACAGTAAACATATAATAGGGTATGCTTTAGTATAAAGTTTTTACTGTAGCTTTAGATCTATACTTTTCTTTAATTAATTCATAGCTACAATTTCTATGATCCAATTGTGATGAAATTTTTATGGTGGTCTAACTATTGTATGTTTTAACTGTAGTAAAAATTTCATACTCATATCTATTTTTACACACTTTTAACTATTTTTAAACTATTTAACAAGCATAAAACTAAATAAATCTATAACTCAGTTATACATGATCCAATGAGCATAAAACTTTTACTAAAGTTCAATCATATAATAATTATCTCACCATAAAAATTTCACCACAATTGGACCATAGAAATTGTAACTTTGAATTAATTACAGAAAAGCGTATATCTAAAGTTACAACAAAAACTTTGTACTAAATCATGCCATATTATATATTCACTGTAGATCTACTCACGTAGAGTCCAACAAAATTGGATTTTTTATTTTATGATTTTTATATGATTTACTATAATTTTTTAAAATTTAGCCAAAATAAATAAATAAAAAGAAAAAGATAAAATCGCCTTTGAAAACCACCTAAAACCGGGTCAGGGAGGTAAAATGAACGGTTTAAAAAGTTGAGGGAGGTGATTTACCCGGTTTTGGAGTTCAGGGAGAAAAACTAGACTTTAAGGATAGTTTAAGAAGGTAAAATGGACTTTTTCAATGTTGAAACCAGGACTATTTTTCTTCGTGGCCCGGATTGAGTGGATCTAGTGGTTCACGAAAACCTAGCCTGACTCCGAGCCCGGCTTGGAGGGAGTGGCTGCATTCCGGGCCATAAAGGGAGTGGAAAGTCAGTCCCAACCTGTTTACTTTCCGGCCTGCCCAAACCGAATAGTGATTTCATCATCGAAATGTTTTCAAAACAGGCCGCTTCGATCCACCTAGAATGGGCCCTAGAACGGGTCATTCCAAGGCAACCAAATGGACCCTTAATAAGATGTTTGTATAGCAAACGCGACGTATCTAAAATAACTCAAAATGGCGAACTGAGCGTAGCTCAGCTAGTTGGATTTCTTGTGGTGGAACCTGTCCACCCGGGTTCAAGTCCCTGACTTTGACACAGGTAATTACATTTTTCTGGGGCGACATGCCCGTCGACAGCGAGATGATTTAACGGCGCTATTTTTTCAGTGGTAGGCGACGTGCCCGTCGACAGCAAGGTGCCTGATTTGACGGTCCAACTCAGTTCTTCGGAGGTGCTCATAGGGGTAGGATGTACGTGCGTGCGTTTATAGGGGTGAGTGTGCGCTCATGTATGTAAGCATCTACATCTGCAACTAGGTCTCAAAAAAAGTCCAAATGCCTTTTAAGTTAGAATAGAGAAAGTACTTCTTCGGAGGTGCTCGTAGGGTGGTATGTACGTGCGTGTGTTTATAGGGATGAGTGTGCACTTGTGTATGTAAGTGCTTATATCTATAACTGGGTCTCAAAAAAAGTCAATATGCTTTTTAAGTTAGAATAGAGAAAGTACTATAATCTAGGGTTATGGAGTAACTCCAAGTCTAAAAGAGATTTAAATTATTGATATAGCTATTTTCTAAAATAAACTCTACTAAAAAACTAGACTATTTCAATAGACTATGTAAACATTAGCCTTTTTATATTCAAACCTGCCATGTCATCAAAAGTTTTTCAGATCCATCAATATGAGGGTTTGTGTCGCCTAGGTTTTCGGTGCCATCGTGTCGGCTTAGACTACCACCAACGTGCCTATGGCGCTAGATAGCTTAAGTGACTCAGCGCCTGCAACCCTGTTCTCGGTCATCATTGCCCATTGTGGTAGAGCTCACACACACCAACGTCCTACCACATCTAGCGACCATACTTTACTGGCAGTAATCTTCCCACCCGGCCTAGTGCCTCCCCCGCCCCCCTCCTCTCTCTCCTAACCTCGCTCGCTATCGCCTCATTGTTCACTTCTATCACCTATCCCTCGGAGAAGCGTGGCTCTTGCAATGGGCCTCCCGCCTACTCCTCCTCCACACACCGAGCACCACACGATGCAAAATGGCCAAGCACAGCCACTTTGCTAGTCTACTACTTCCGTTGCAGCGCCGCTCCACCCTCATACTGTACTGTAGCAAGTGGAATGGAGATATGTCGTGACATGAACCGAGGTTTCTCTTCTCTATTGGTGAGTCGTCCTGGGTACTGGCTTACTTGGTGTGTTGCCATGTTCTTTTGTGAGTAGGTTCCACTCTCAATTCGGATCCAAACTCCTTTTCAAAACTTTTATTGGTACCAGAGCCAATAATGGGTTACGAGTTCATCACTCCTTTTCAAAATTTAAAAATTTAACCAACAAAAGTTTTACGAAAAGTATGATGCGATTAAATTATGTAAATAAGTATAAGCCCTAACAATATGGTCTATCTAGGATAGCGGTACTGGTTTTATCTAATCAGTTTTCTGTAGGTACACTGACTAACGTTACGTAAGAAATCGCTTAGTATACGGAAAGTGAGTGTGCGATGTGCCAAAAATTTTATGAATGCCGCTATATTCCAGCTTGAGTGAACGTATAGGCCGAAGCATGCATCATGATAATAGCATCTTGCTTAAACTAAAACCCCCCCTACACGTATAATTTAGAATAGTAAATTGGTAGGATAACTTAAAAGAATGCTTTAATAAATGTATTGTCATTTCTCTAATCCATTCCTTCTGATCTGAAGGGTTGTTCTAAATGGATGGTTCCTATCTCTTACAGATGAATCTAAGGTCTGAACGCAGGAGCACCAGTGTCAGTGCGGGCCACGGTCTTGGCGAGGGCCAAGGAGAAAGTGGCCGAGCCAATGAGCACGGCGGGGAGAGCCATGGGGCTCTACTTCTGGCTCCTCCTCCTCTGCCACCGCCACCTCCAATGACTCACGCAGAGATGATGGCAGAACTGATGGCTACTCGCCGCGAGTCAGCCCGTGCCATGGAGCTAATGGCACAAGCTATCGCTGGCTTCGCCCACGGAGGCCACGGGGGAAATAGTGGGAACGGGGGTGGTGCTCGTCGTCCTGAGGGACCCTCCTCTTACTAGGATTTTCTCAAGACCCACCCACCTACTTTCACACCGACAGCTGAGCCCCTGGATGCGGAGCACTGGCTTCACATTCTAGAGCAGAAGTTTCTGTTACTCAACGTGCCTGATGAGCAGAAGGTGCGCTTTGCAGTGTAGCAGCTATTGGGTTCTGTGAGTGCATGGTGGGATACCTTTCATGCCATGCAGTAACCAGATCATCAGGTGACCTGGCAGGAGTTCACCGTAGCATTTCAGGAGTTCTATATTCCTGCTAGTGTACTCAATAGGAAGCTGACTGAGTTCCTAGAGCTTTGGTAAGGGGGTATGACAGTGATGGACTACGTCAATAAGTTCAATCACTTGTCCTAGTATGCTAGCATCCATGTTGACACCGACGAGAGGAAGAAGGACCGCTTCTATCGTGGCCTCTCTTACATCCTTCAGGAGAAATTGTACACTGGGAACTATCAGACCTTCGAGGTAATGATGAATGTTGCCATCGCTATGGAGGGCTTGTAGCGGGATTCCCAGGCAAAGTGGAAGAGAAAGCGGGTAGCCACGGGGTCTTCTAGCCATCCTCATACTCAGAAGGTACAAGTTGTCCGATGGGTGCCCTATCAATCATTAGGCGGGCATTCGTTTCGGCAGCCCCAGCATACTTCTCAGACTTCTTCCACACAGTATCATTCACCCACTCAGCAGGTGCAGCCCCAGTAGCCTCAGGGACAGCGGGTCCCACCTCGCCAAGGATTGGGGAACAAGCCTGGCGCTTGTTTCAAATATGGCAAGGATGGCCACTATGCCTGAGAGTGTCTCCAGAACTAGCC